GTTATTTAAGGTCGCATCAACTTCTAGGATCACTATTGCTTGTAACGGTATGGTAACTGTGAGGATGACACGATATGATGATGATATGGGGTGAAAGGACGAACACAACACAACCATGCCCGAGGCGGGATTCGAACCCGCAAACCTTCGGTCCGAAATCGCTACGGCACTACTGCCTTATCAATCTCGGCCAACGGATCGGCAGATTTAGATTTATTTAGTCAAATAAAAACAGTAAAAACTGTATGTAACGTATGGGGGGGGAGAAGATCATCTGCTCACGTTTTCTTGTGCTCCAGAATCCCTTCCCATCATTTTAACTATAAATAGATGAGTAAAATGTAAAGATAAATAAAACTAATATTTTAAAAAAACGCGACATTAGCGACATTTGAAAACTTGACATTTTCGTTCCCGAGTTATAGAAAACTTACTTGCAATGGTAAACAACCTGCAGATTTTCAGAACTGTAGGTACATCCCTCGCCTCGCCTCGCCTCGCTCTCTTTAGGTTCGAACTTGAACTGTTTCAAAAAATGGAACAAAATTGTTAATTTTTTTTAAATGTATAACTCAATATTAAATTTATTACGTTTCCATTTTCAAAATAAAAAGACAATTTTTTAAATATTTTATTTTATTAAGAGAGTTTTTCAACAGACCGCAGAAATATTAGGTTACAATTTGTAATGTTGCATTACTTAACCGTTACAAATACGAGAAAACATGTTCGAGCACCAATTCTTTTTCGCTGGAGTAAGCTCGCCGTTAACAGACACCTCGCACTTTTTAGCTGAGGCCTGGATTTACAAAGGCAAGAAATCAAGAATATAATTCTTTATTAGTGTGGAACGAGTCAATGAGCGTGTACCTTCGGAAGACTTCAGGTGTTTTGGTCTTAAATTGATGCATCTCACAGCCCGTTGACACTCAAATAAACGTATTTGATCAAATGTGTTCTTTACCTCACTATTTTACTTATTGTTTTTAATGCATTAATTAACAAGGACGATCAGATTTTTTTCGGGGAAAGATCGACACGCAGTCATTCTTGAGAAGAGCATTCAATAATCTGGAAACAATCCTAACTTAAAAATGCAAGGAAGTTTTGATACATTTCCATCACCTCTAGAGGTGAATGTCTTGGATATTATATTATTTTGGCATTTTTTAGACTAAATATTTTAATTTGTTCCTTTGGCAATTGCGGCCACCAGAGACGCAACCTTGAATACATAGCATATTTCGCGAGATTTTGTTTAGCTAGTAGGGGCTTTAGCACACTAATGCTTTCACTTCCTTCGTGCCTGGTGATGTAGAACACGAATGCGAGGACAGTCAGTGCCACTTACGAGTGCTCGACCTCGAAGACATGCGCAGATTAGCGCGCGAACCATCCATTCAACAAAAATACAGCGGATAGTAAATTTACCTTAGCGAATCCTTAGACACGAAGGTGAGAAAGTAGAAGTGTATGGTCATTCAGGAAAGCCAACATGTTCTCACCTTTCTCCTCATTAGACTAAATAGAGTGAAGTGCATCTTATGGCAATTAAATGTACTATCCTTATTTACTTGTTTTTGTTTTGTACAAAAATCTCGCTTTGTTTACCTTTCATTGAGATCGGCGGCTCGCATCAAAATGTATCTTATTCTTCCGGACGTAATATTTGATTTACGAGTGATTTGCAAGTCCCTCCATATCTCATATGCCAGTCTATCTGTACAGATATGTAAATTTTTTAGATTAATTGATCACAGCTTGTGTATATAAGGAGCCTTCGTCTTGCTTTCCATGATCACGTAGAATCGCGTGTCTACTGTCGCCTGCTCCGCAGCCTCTGATTGTGTGTGATGTTGCATGAGCAGGGCTGCCTTAAAACATTAGAAAACAAATCACACGTTTAGGATACGCATCGTAAAGGGTTCTCCAAAACGCTGTTTATGTGTTATCTTCACAATTATATTGATTACTTCTATTAACTGTCTATTATGAAGGTCGTGTTAATGCGCTAACGTGTGTGTGGTGTGCGCATGCGCAGTGGCCTGAGCGGCAGCATGTTCCCCGGGCGACGCACGCTGGCGCCCGCGCCGCGCACGCGCATCGAGCTGCACGCGCACCTGGACGGCTGCGTGCGCCACGAGACCATCTGGGAGCTCATGCGGTGAGTGGAGCGCGCCAAGCAAACAACTCGTCACATCCAAATAGTTCTCCCAGTACCTCGACGAGCTGAATCCGAAGCCGAAGCTAGAATTGCGCCATCCAACTTCCAGCTTTTCGCAATTTAAAGAAAAAAAACTGGAGAGTGGCTTCAATTTCGGATTCAGCGCGTCGACATACATAAGAACTGTGTCAAGTATTTTGGTCTGACATTTTTTTTGTGTGCCTGTGTTATTATTTCGTCAACTGCTAAGATCATTAGTCCCATAAGTGTAGCGCACGGTTATCCACGAGAGATGGGCGAGGATCTTTTCCCGCTAATGGATAGATCCGGCGCCGACCTACACTTTGCCTAGTGTGGTTTTCCGCGTACAGATATCTCCCACCTGCGTGGCACCTCCCTAGCCGCGACAAGCTCTTAGTTCCCGCCTGGTCTTCCGACATTTGTAGTTGTGTAATGTACGTAAGTGTGAGTATACATAGGTAAAGGGATAGGATACGGCAAAGAAGAGGAAGGAAAGATCCCGCGCGGTACGCGACCTGTTTGTTAGGGTACTACTCCGGCATTCGCCTGGTGTTGATCGGAGAAACCACGGAAAACTATCGATCTGGTATCTAGAATTCTCCTCCAGGCAACGGCTAAATTATGTATTCTATTCTATACGCCCCAGTTATATAACTAGTGTCAAAAATCTCACCACCGGTCGAGACTCGAACACTTGAAGTTCCGGATTATAGGCTTTGCATGGGTATCAGATGATGCCCTGAGTCACCTAAGTCAGTCGCCACACACGGAAAAATATGAATGCGTACCCACGTATTTGTCAAACTCATTATTTTGATCAATTAAAATCACAACGTTACGTTCTAAATCTTAGTATATTGATTGGTTAATTAAAACTTCAATTGTATACTGCCTGCGACAGCTCAGAGATATCATCGATGCCACTCTATCAACCTTGTCCGGGGGAGGATGTAGATTTCCAATCCCGACATGCAAGTTTTTCTCTACTTTCGTTTGATACGTTTTGATTTGTAACCAGTATAGAAATGAAACATATAAACAATTTCTTAATTAATATTTTAAATATATTAATATTTTTAAATTTAATATTTTCACTCTTTCTTTTATTTTTCTAGAAATAGGTATTTTTCTAGAAAAATAAAAGAAAGAGTGGAAATATTAAATTTAAATTCGTTAATTCTTAAAAATGTTCATTAAACTCGCACATTAAAAAACATATGATTTGGAAGAACATTTATTTTAAAAAAAGAATCTGTACATTTCCGTGTGGAGGGTCTGGCGCCTTAAGCAGCCTTGTAAGTGGGTGGCGGCGTTGCGCAGACTCAATAACCGCACGTGTCGGTATGTGTGTATGTGTGTGCAGGTCGAAGAAGATGAAGATGCCGGGCGACGGCACGTTCCACGCGCTGCAGGAGGCGCTGGTGGTGCGCGACCCCGTCGACCTGGCGCACTTCCTCGAGCCCTTCAACATCTTCTCGCGCGCCATCGCGTGAGTACATCGCAGGGCAGGGGTCCGGCCCGATCAAGCACGGGCGCGTTGACCGTTGAGAGAAATCAATCGTTCTATTAAATGTTGCGTTGGGTTGAGCATCTAACTGTGTAGGTGACGATAAACAGCATATGCCCTCCCCAGTTTCGAAAACTCAAAAAAAATGAATGCCCCTTTGACGTCTGTAGCAGTTATTGGGGTGATAAGACGGACACTGAACTTTGATGCAATTTCTTTAATACGTTGAATCCTAACTTGAGTCGGGTACTGCTCGTATGAATTCGGATTACACTTATACGTAACCAACTCTACTTGAGAGTTATGGGTGACTGACTTATTTTAGCCAAAGAAAAAGTACTGTGTGAAGCATGATATAATGGATATTAATACATTCGTAGGAGGTTTACTATACACGCTCTATCCTCGATCGAAGTGTATTTCACAGTCGCGTCTTAATACCTAGCTGTATATCGCTTCGTAATATACTAATAAATGCTCCTCCCTCGTTTGCTGGCATGTCTTTTCCTTGCGTTCAGCATCTGCGCTGAAGGTATCAGAGATATTGAATAATAGGCGTGGAAACGTGGTGTTTAAAACAGAAGACGTCAAGGTAGTTCCCAACTGTAAACTCTGTCGCAATGAAATCATCCCCCTCCCTCGTAGCGTTGACGAGCTCCCCAGAAGATACCATCTGACCAAAGGTAGAAAAATTAATTACTTCTGTTATTATGTTTATTAATTTATTACTTTTTCTCTCTATAATGAAGAATAAGGATGAAAAGTACCTGTATTAGAATCATCTCCGACATAAAACAGCGTTGTTATTGGCTGAGCAAAAACTCATTGACTGTCGCAAAAATCAATAAAAAGACGAACCTTTTTGCCAAACAATTTTTACCCATCTGTACGTAAGAGATGGGATCTTTGCCAGATCTCAGGCCGTGAAAATCAACACTCGATTCTCCTAGGTGCACGGTAAAACGAAAATCAATTGTTCCAGCCGAATATTTTAAGTGTAACACTGATTTGCGAAGCGAGCGCTGCTCTCCGCGGCATGATAGCGAATCGAGTGCTGCTGCAGTGAGCTTCGCGTCGCGCAACGCGCTACCCCCTCCCCCCTCCCTTGGGCAGCGGCGACCTGTCGGCGGTGGAGCGCGTGGCGTACGAGTTCTGCGAGGACAAGGCACACCAGGGCGTGCTGTACGTGGAGGCGCGCTACACGCCGCACATGTGGCTCAAGACCAAGGACTGCCGCGGCATGATCAACGGTGAGCTCTTCCCTTCTTCTCCTACTCATATGTTCCTTGTTGATTAAAAAAACACTTAAAAATGTTTTCTTTCATTGAAATTGAAATTATACACTGGGGTACCAAAGGCATGGGCTACTTCGAAATATCGTGTCGGACCATCCTTCACCCGGGAAATTGCAGTAACTAAATGTGACATGGACTCAAAATGTATGTGTTGCTTATTGATTAAAAAATCCTTTAAAATATTTTGTTTCATTGAAATTGAAATTATACACTGGGGTACCAAAGGAATAGGGTGCTTCGAAATATCGTGTCGGACCATCTTTCGCCCGGGAAATTGTAGCAACTCAATGTGACATGGATTCAAAATGTATGTGTTGCTTATTGATTAAAAATCCTTTAAAATGTTTCCTTTCATTGAAATTAAAATTATACACTGAGGTACCAAAGAAATGGGCTAACTTGAAATAGTGTCAGACCTTTCGCCCGGGAAATTGCAGTAACTCAATGTAACATGGATTCAAAATGTATGTGTTGTTTATTGATTAAAAAATCCTTTAAAACGTTTTCTTTCATTGTAATTGAAATTATACACTGGGGTACCAAAGACATGGGCTACCTCGAAATATCGTGTCGGACCTTCTTTTGCCCGGAATAGCGCAGCAACTCAATTTGGCATGGACTCAAAATGTATGTG